AGAAATAGTCGACGTGAATGACGGCCGGTCAGTTCTATATACCACGAGCCACCACTGGAGTAAACTACTTACTCGCCGTAGAATTCTACGGCCAAAGGCGTGGCTATTCTTGAGCTGTTCATCTCAATGTTGTCTCTGTTACTGTAGTAGGCGAACAAGTTCCTGAGTGCCACCATGAAGGCTGAGAACACAATGATCACTATAGCCACGAACTTCAGAATGTCCTGGCACAAAGGGAAAAGATAAAAGAAGAGAGAAATGCATTTATTAATATCTTCATAGAAAATTTGTTCCGCAATATGAAGGAAAATCAAAATGTCGTTTCAAGAGCAGATTTAATTTGTCTTGCCATATGAATAGAAATTGTTATACATATAAAAGAAAGCCAATAACATGTAACACCTTGTGCCTTCCAGACAGCCATCAATTTGACTACAGCTCATATCAATCTATTCATAGAGAAGAGAGCTCCGCAGATTGACGTGAGTAGTCACGTGATCCACAAAGACATCGTTTAGCCCGTTCTGTTAAAAAATTAATCATTCTCTTAAAAGTGATGTGTATCGACTAGACAGATAATCTCGACCAACAATCCCGACAACAATAGCATTTTGGTGTGGGTATTTTAAATAAATACCCAGAACATTCACATCTCAACCACCGATAAATAGAATATTAGCATCTTGATCAATGATACATATAATATTAGCATCTCGATCCATGGTATGACGCAGATTATCAGCATCTCGCCCAAGACACAAAACGTGATAGTATCTCGACACACGATACAAAAAAATAATAGTATCTCGACCAACGATATGATATAGACTATTGGCATCCCGATAAATGTAATGAATGATATACAAATATTAGCATCTCGATAACGATATTATATTGATTATCAGCATCTCGAAAACCAGGGGCAAAACCGGCGGTGCCGGTCTAATTTTTGTCAGCTGGACTGTTGACAAGAGATTTATAGCTGATGATGATTTTCATTCAGTTTTAAGTAAATCCAAACAAACATGTATCAACATTAAAAAGCACCTTGCCGATTTGAAGGCGCTCAAATAGAGAAGTGGGATTCACTTCTGTTTTGTCGCGACAGAACCTCATTCTTTCAAGTTTGTTATCGCGCCGGCTCGTAACTTTAAATCGTCTCCCGTCAAGCCGTCACTTCGCGGAACTTCGTACTACACACGGCGGGCTTAGGCTTAGCGATGACGTCAGTCCCGTGGACAAATCCATCGACTGCCCTCCGAGCGAATAGGGTATCCCATAATTGCCAAATTGGCCTCTTTACAGCTTACAAAATTAAGAATGAGACTAACCTGAGCAGCTCAGAAACATGTATTATTTTATCAGCAAAACATGTATTTATCATTCATCCTTTCTCTAACTACTATCAAAACATTTATTGTCAGCATAGCACTAATCCTTTCGGTTTATTGACTTTTTAACCACCTATATTTCCTGTTTGGTTTTTACTCATCGTTTTCTCCCCACTAATAACTTACCTGGCCAATAGGAGTGGCTGGCTAAAGGAGGAATCGTCTAGGGAAGATATATAAGGAGAATTTTAACGAGGAACAGTAGGCACTCGGCTGTGAGTCTGGGCCGAAAACAATAGGCCTACCCCCCCCCCCCTTCCCTCCCCTTTTCCACGTCACCCCAGCAAGATACCAAGTTCTATAATTAGCATTTGACACACTTCCCCACTTTGTTACAACACAGTGTTCTGTTCTGGGAGCTGAGAAGTGCGATGAAGAACATTTGATGATATAATGATCGGAAACTGTTGTGTGCTAACTTTGTCCAGCTTTGTATAGTATCTGATTGTAGACTTGATCTGCTTGGAACAGTGTCACTGGTACAATATCAATTGCCTTTTTGTCATCATACTGGACAGTTCTTATTTCATATATTTAACGGTTCCAGTGTACGTCGATATTTTGTGTGGGGGTGTGGTGCAAAAAGTATGAGTCAAGTACTGGAGGCCAGGACCAGCAGTTTATTGCCTCTCACTTTCAGTTTGTTTTCTAGCCTAGTAGTGTTTCTTTTTCTGTGCCGATCAAGTCAGTTTCTATTAATCTCAGTAACTTCCATCATACGTTATTCATAATATTGTTTCTTGACACTACCGCATATTTTAGCTCTTTCACATTATATTACAATGTTTACAGTGGTGTGTGTGTGAGTGGGGGAGGGGTGGGGATGGCGAAAGTAGGGGTATAAAATAAGGAGAGAAAGACAGACAGAGAGAGAGAGAGAGAGAGAGAGAGAGAGTGTGTGTGTGTGTGTGTGTGTGTGTGTGTGTGTGTGTGTGTGTGTGTGTGTATGTTGTGAAGGAAGGGGGTGGGGGAGGGAGAAATAGTCGACGTGAATGACGGCCGGTCAGTTCTATATACCACGAGCCACCACTGGAGTAAACTACTTACTCGCCGTAGAATTCTACGGCCAAAGGCGTGGCTATTCTTGAGCTGTTCATCTCAATGTTGTCTCTGTTACTGTAGTAGGCGAACAAGTTCCTGAGTGCCACCATGAAGGCTGAGAACACAATGATCACTATAGCCACGAACTTCAGAATGTCCTGGCACAAAGGGAAAAGATAAAAGAAGAGAGAAATGCATTTATTAATATCTTCATAGAAAATTTGTTCCGCAATATGAAGGAAAATCAAAATGTCGTTTCAAGAGCAGATTTAATTTGTCTTGCCATATGAATAGAAATTGTTATACATATAAAAGAAAGCCAATAACATGTAACACCTTGTGCCTTCCAGACAGCCATCAATTTGACTACAGCTCATATCAATCTATTCATAGAGAAGAGAGCTCCGCAGATTGACGTGAGTAGTCACGTGATCCACAAAGACATCGTTTAGCCCGTTCTGTTAAAAAATTAATCATTCTCTTAAAAGTGATGTGTATCGACTAGACAGATAATCTCGACCAACAATCCCGACAACAATAGCATTTTGGTGTGGGTATTTTAAATAAATACCCAGAACATTCACATCTCAACCACCGATAAATAGAATATTAGCATCTTGATCAATGATACATATAATATTAGCATCTCGATCCATGGTATGACGCAGATTATCAGCATCTCGCCCAAGACACAAAACGTGATAGTATCTCGACACACGATACAAAAAAATAATAGTATCTCGACCAACGATATGATATAGACTATTGGCATCCCGATAAATGTAATGAATGATATACAAATATTAGCATCTCGATAACGATATTATATTGATTATCAGCATCTCGATAACGATATTATATTGATTATCAGCATCTCGATAACGATATTATATTGATTATCAGCATCTCGATAACGATATTATATTGATTATCAGCATCCCGACCAATGGTACCAAGAGGAGTACACTTACATTGACCATACGACCCAGAGAGATCTGTAAGGGCCCCAGTGTCTGGTTGGCTGGCAGAAGGTAGGAGATTCTCAGCAGGCTTACGATGTTGGCCACTGCGAACAAACCCTCCGCCATGTTCTCGGGGTCTGTGCTGGACCAGAACCGGCGGTCTGAAAGGGTTAAGAAAGAGGGTAAGAGTAAATACGTTTATGAGTTCAACTGCCCTTTCAACACGGTTCATCATCATCATCCGGGTGCCTTGCCGACTGGCGTGGGCGATCGTGGACCTCCACTTCACTTTGTCTTGAGTTGCAGCAATGGTGTCTGTTGTTCTTGCTGCTCCTAGCCATGTTGTCATCTTGTCCAGTATCTTTTCCCTCTGTCTGCCTCTGCCTCTCTTTCCATCAAAATTGCCTGTTGTTACAATATTCTCCAATGCTTCTTTTCGCATTGTGTGTCCGAAAAAATGTGCCTGTCGCTTTCGTATATTCGTCACAAGCTGTCTTCTACAATTTGCTTAAACCAAGAAGACTTCTTCATTTGTTTTTCTAGCTGTCCATAGGATACGTAGCATGCGTCTTATGAACCGCAACTCTGTCGCAACAATTGTTTTTTCCAGCTGTTTATTGATTGTCCATGCTTCGCACTCGTATGATAGGATTGGCTCGATGTAACTTTTCAGTACTCTTTTCCTCGTTTCCATTGACAGATTGATGTTTGTTAGTATCTGTTTCATTTTGTGGAAGGTTGCTTTTGCTTGGCAAATGCGGCTTTTAATTTCGTTGTGACATCTCCCATCTGATGATATAATGGTCCCCAAACATTTAAAATGGTGTACTTGCTTGAGGGTGGTATCATTGATTTTAAAATTGCATGTTGGGGTTGGAGTTTTTCTGCTTATCACCATTGTTTCGGTTTTCTTGATGTTTAGGCTTAAGCCCATGTTGTCACTCTCTTGTACGATGACATTTAATAGATTCTGTAGGTGTTCCTCATCTTCTGCTATTAGGACTGTGTCGTCTGCATATCTTAGATTGTTTATATTATGTCTCCCTATCGAGATACCTGGCATTTCTTCTATGTGTCTCATGATATTTTCACCATACAAGGAGAACAAGTCTGGAGAAAGCACACATTCTTGTCTGACTCCTCTCTTAATCTGTATGTATTCGCAGATGTCGTTTTCTGTTCTCGTTGCAGCAGTTTGGTCCCAGTACATGTTCTTGATAATCCTTAAGTCCTTCCCGTCAATATTGAGGACTTCCAGCATGTCGATGATCTTGTCGTGCCTAACTTTGTCAAATGCCTTGGTCATGTCTATAAAACATAAATGGAGATCTTTCTGAACTTCTATGGCACGTTCTATTGTTGCTCTGATGACATATATGGCATTTACAGTGCCTTTGCCTTCAATAAATCAACACTGTTGTTGGGCTATTTCTGGGAGAATTTTATTTCGAATTCTCATCATAATTATTCTGAGTATCATTTTTGTTATGTGGCTCATGAGGCTGATGGTACGATGGATTTCACATTCGTTTGCATTAGGTTTCTTTGATAAAGCTATGAAGATAGATTTTGACAATTCTGATGGAATGTGTCTAGTGTCATACATGTTGTTAAGACGTTTTGTCGGTGTGGTGATTCCAAAGTCTTCTAAAGCTTTAATCATCTCTGTGGTAATGGTGTCTGGTCCTGCAGCTTTCCCATTCTTCATCTTTCGTAGTGCCTTGATAACTTCTTCTTTCATGATTGGTGAGCCCTCGTTGGTTATTGTCCACTCTTGTTTGTTCATCTCTTTTGTCATTGTACAGGTCACCGATATATTCTGTCCAACGTTCTAGTATCTTGTCTTTATCCATGATGATATTCCCATCCTTTGATTAGAGACACCTTGTTGATCCACGTGTTCTTGTATGACACACCTCTTTAATTTTTCTGAGCAGATCTTTTGAGTTCGCATTGGAATGACTTTCCATTTCCTCACACCCTTCTTTTAACCAGGTCTCTTTTGCTAGATTACATTTGTGTCAGATTTCTTTATGAAGATTCACATATTTTTCCAGATTGTTTTTGTTTCTTCTTCGTTCCACCATTAGATTAAGAATTTCTTCAGTCTTCCATTTCTTCTTTGCTTTTGTTGTCCTTTCTGGTATGACGTCTTTTGCAGCCTCATTTATAGATGTTTTAAGCTGTTCCCATTGTCGTTCTATGTCTTGCATTTCTTCTAAGGGGCCCAATTTGTTCTGTGCAGTTATTCTGAATTTATCTTGCATTTCTTTGTTTGACTGTAGTAATGCCATGTTTAGTTTCATATTCTTGTTCTTGCTCATGTGTGTTCTTTTCAATCTGATTCTAAATTTTCCAACTACAGGTACATGGTCACTGTAACAGTCTGCTCCTGGGCGCGTTTTGACATTTAGCGTCCCGTTTTTGTATCTTTTCTTGATCATGATGTAGTCGATTTGGTTGCGAGCGCTGTCTCCAGGACTCTTCCAGGTCAATAATCTTCTTGGTCATTCAGGATGGCCCATTCTATCAGTTTTTCTTCTCTTTCATTTCTGGTTCCCAGTCCATATGGACCCACTATGTCTTCATGTATTGTTGTTCCCACTTTTGCATTAAAATCTCCCATGACTATGACAATATCTTATGATTTACAATGTGTATTTGCTTGGCTTATTTCATCATAAAACGTCTCTATTTCTTCTTCTGTGCTTTCTGAGGTTGGTGCATACGCTTGGATGATGGTTTTATCGAAGGGTGATCCTTTCAGTCTCACCAGAATAACTCTGTCTGATATTGTCAGTTACCCCTTATTAAATGTCTTCGATGTTGGCATGTCCATGATGACCGCTGCTTCTCTTTCATGTTTGTCGCCTCCTGAGTAAATGATTTTATAGCTGTCGGACAATATTCTGCCAGCTCCTGTCCATCTTACTTCACATAAACCCATGATGTTAACATTCATTCTCTTCATTTCTTTCTTGGTGTTGTCCAGTTTTCCTTTCTCTAGCATTGTTCTCACATTCCAGGTTGCTATGTTTCTTGTTTGAGTTTTCCTTTTGTGAGCGGTATCTTGATGACGATCTGGTGTCACCTGTTGTTCATGACTGACCCTACAGGACGAAGCAGCTCTTACAGAGCTCCCCTTTACGTCGTTATCTTTATTTATTGAAATGTTATGATCCACGATGTTCTTGGGAAAGAATACAGCAGTGGTTTCCTCTTGTCTTCTGTTGGAATTTTGTACGGTTTACTCCGCTGGCCTTTATCCAAAAGGACTAACCCACAAGGCAGTGGGGGCAGGTGGTTGGTTTCGGCGCCTCCCTCTTTACTGAGCACATGAGGCATTTCATACAGACAGGGTTGCCACCACCCTGTCCCACCTCGCTCTCCAAAACTGTCGCCTGTTGGTCTGCGACTGCTTATTGGTTATTCGCAGCTACCCTACATTATGTAGGCCGTTCCACTGTCCGCCACCTGAGGATGTGGTGGGTCGAGGATGGTCGCCCCAGCTCTCAACACGGTTAGGGTATTTAAAAGGCGTGACCTCCGAATTCAGCGTCCATCTTCAAACAATTGAGCCAAATCGGTCGAGAGCCTTGAAAACGTCACAAAAAAGGAGATTCAAAAATAGCTCTGTTGGGCCTTCGAACCAAAGACCCCTGCTTTATAAATTATAGTCCAGCAAGATACCAACTTAGCCAACAGCGCGTCCATTCAAAAAGAAAGAAAAGGAGAAAGCTACTGTTTCATTTCCCTGTATGTTTCTTTCTTATGTAGGTATAGTACGCTTTTGACGACCATTTATGTCATGTTTTTATGCTCTCGAACTCACCAGAGTTCAGTGACTGGCACATGTGTTGTTGCGGTTAGGCTCTTACCCGTTACACACAATACAATTCAGTTTGAGTTCCTTTTCGAGCGTTTCGATCTGTGTGATTGTGTGTTGCATCTCAATCAGCGCGGGATGGGCCTAATAGGTCGAAGCATCCTGCTTCCCAAATGATTTTTTTTCTCGATGGGGGCGTAAAATACAATTACTTCAGCAATAATCCGACTTTTAAGTGCCAAAGACTTGGGTTTATTGGGAGGGGGCTGTTTCATAGGAT